GTAATATTATTTATCTTTTATCAATGCTAAAATTAGCTACAGATTTAAATTCGTTAAGATGATGTTTGATTGATAATATTAAAATTTATGTTAAATGTTCGATAAAAAAAGAATAAAATAATAAAAAAAAGAAAAGCGAAAAATATCCAAACTAAAAACCGCAATTTGCACTGAAGTATTATATTCATAATCCTATTCCATAATTACTGCGCAAATAACATTTAAGATCCATTCGAAAATCGAATGTACATATATGTATAGTAGACAGATAAAATTTTCGGGGGTCCAACGTATAATCAGCGAGAAGTAATTTAGATAGCGACACTATTTTATACACTTTATATCACTCTCGCAGGTTTGCACGGTCATAAGATATGAATGTGCGTGTGTATGTGAATTGATGGAAGGGTGGAGAACGAAGGTATTCGTGAGGAGAAGAACAAAATAATGCTGAACATGCGCGCTATCGGAGGATCGTAAAACAGGAGGATCGAATCGTAAGAGTTGATAGTTATCGCGCGAATTTCTTTCTGCAGCATTATTGCCTAATGAGATCGTTTTATCATGGTAGGAATCTCAATAACCTAATGAGCGAACAAATATCGATAAAGTACCATCGTATTATATACCGTAACGTAAAAAAAAAAAAAACATGAAAAATTAATGTAATTTAGTTTGCACAATTTTGATTAACCAATCTAAGCATTTTATCAGTTTTGTCATTTATCTCTATTTAATAGCACATTGATTTCTTGTGTAAAAAATGGACGTCGGATATCACATGTTATTATTTCAGAACATCAATACTTAAATATTTCATAAAATTGAAGAATTATTTTGTTTTATCCATGAGACGGTATCAATTAAGAAATTTGATATGAACAACAAGATTAATAATATAAAAGCGTATAGAGCGCATTAAAAAAAATCCGGTTTAACAAAGTTCGAATAATGAAAAACGAGATTTGAAAGTTTTTATATTTGATCCTTCTTTCTGATGCACGACTTGATGTGCGAAAGAGATGTGTCTTTAAAGACATAATCGGTCTATGGAAATAATTCTAACGTAATAAAAAATATGACATTTCAACTCACCTTGCGGCTATAACAATAATAATGACGCAGGGGTCGCTGCGGGACGACGACAGTCCAATGTCGTCGTGCGTCGCGGCGGCAGAAGGGCGTAGGGAGGCGATGCTGCTGCCCTTTTCCCTTCCAAGGGTCACTGTGACCCGAGTAGTTACTCCATGCCGATCCGTTTTTCAGCTGCTGAAACAACCAATGTACGTTGGATCCGCGTTTAGCACAGCTGATTAAAAACTGGGACATTGGATATCCTATTTTTTCGAAATTTCACGGGCATTGTTCTTTCGAAGTCGACATTCATACAAGACTCGTAACAATGTTTATAATTCCTGTAATGGAAATTGCAATGTCACTAATAAACATTTTCGTTAAATCTGTTTCTAAAGAACGCGAATCATAAATCTTGCACCATGTTTCTTTCAGGCAGCCATCGAAGAGCTTACGCAGTAATTTTCAATAAAACACTTTCACAAATAATGACAAGAAAAATTGCACACGGATTATCGATCACGTATTCATAATCTACAATTAAAAATCCGCTTGGCTGATATTAACGTATTACGAGATACAGAAGAAGAATTTTCCGAATACGCCATTTTCCCTCTCTTTCTATCCCTCTTCTCTCCGTCTGGAAATGACGATGATGTATACGATAATGCTCGCACCACACCGAGCGCACAACGATCGTTCGGAGCGTATTCTGTCGATCGCGCGGCGTAAGAAAACAGGTGAAAAAGGTATAGGAACGACAAGAACGATAAGAACTGGGCGTTCACCACTTATCACAAGACGTCCGGATCTCGTCGTCACGCGAGATCGCAGGAGAACGCGTCGCGTCGTCGGGATTTCGACTGCGCCTACCAGCCGCACGACGAGGCGAAGCGAGGCGACGTTGGTGAACGTAACGGAACGGAAATATACACGGCGAGCTGAACGAGTTAGCTCGCTGCCAAAGCTTGGCAGCTCCACTACGCGAGCAGAGACGCGTGCACAGCCAAGAGACCGTAGGTACCCAGCCAACGGGATTTACTATGCTTCAACTGTACCGGATTCTCTCTGTCTCTCTCTCCTCTTTTCCTCTCTCTTCGGCTCTTTCTTTCTCACCTTCTCTCTTTCCCGCTCTGTCGGTTAAGGCAAGCAGCAGAGCAAGGCGCAGCAAGACGAGTTGTTGCGAGCGACACGTAACAACGACCGCCTCTCTTTGCCTCGCACACTACCGTCGCAAAACCGTAGGACGGAGTCAGGTCGAAGCAGGCCAATCAGGCGCCCACCGTATCTACCTGCGGACTGCCTTCTGTGTAGCACCTGCACAAGATATGCCTCGGTCTTATACTTTGTAAAATGCCGGCTCGCGTCGATGACAGATCGTCCGCCTTCGATTAACCCCTTTTCTCTTTTCCCGCTTTTTTCCATCTGCGCTCGAGATTGTATTACTTAGCATTAACGTGATTGCGAAACTCGCCGGTAACATTCTAACGTTTCCGCGTTGCCAAGTCGTTTTATCAACGATGGTTCAACGAGGCATTTCTCGACGTATATAGATATAATTGTTCTAAAAAATATATGGGGTACGCTGTCAACAACATTGACACGGTATCAAGTATCTCTCTAGACTTGGATACTCGCATTAATCAAGGCGCGAAATATACACGTGAAAAGACAAATTCGCCAAAATAATTCGTCGACGCTTCATCTCTCGGTTGGAATTTCAGGGCGACCGAGGAAAGAAGCGAGGCGTTATACCATGAAACGGAGCACCGAAAATTGAGTCACTAGCCAGTTTTATTTCGGTGCCGTTCTTTTAACACTCTCCCGTAAATGCGAAACAAAGATCCGGCCCTTGATTGGATTTGTTCTCTCAGAAATGTTTAACGCTCACATCTTCCTAATAAAATGGATTTTTTCATAGTATTGGTGAATCACCAATATTTCTCATTATTTTTTATTATTATCATCATTATCTCGGTTGCTATTCTCTCTCTCTCTCTCTCTCTCTCTCTCTCTCTCTCTCTCTCTCTCTCTCTCTCGGCTAGCATCGGCATGATGAAGATTTTGAAGCACGCGATCGACTCTACAGTGCAAAAATTTTGTGTGCTGTTGTTATCCGTTTGAATACGCAATGACTAATTGTAAGCCTATATCTATGTGACGTTTTTCGTCTTTGCATAATCTGCGAAAGATTTAGAATTCAGCTCGAAATAAACGTTAATAAAAATTTGACATTAGGTATATTTGCGAGTATAATGATCCTATTAACGGCATGTTTCTCACATTATCACAATATTATAATATATCAATTTACAAATATATTCAGTCGCGACACGCACATCTCATCTTCATCGATTGTGCCTAGAACGAGTTGGCGATAAAAATGTCAACTATCTTTATCACTTTTGGCGGCGCGACTCTTTCAGGACTTAAAAACTTTTAATTAAAATACTTTGGCCAACACAAGCGAGCGTCG